GGTTTTTGTCTCTCTATTTAATTATCCTTTTCATTACTTATTTCCTGACTTAATCTGAATGTGCATAAATCTCCACCATAGATTTATCATCTCTATAGAAAGAGCTTTCAGAGTGGTTGTGCAGCTTCCCAGAAAAGGGACACTGTTGGAAAGTGAAGCTTTCAGATTCAACAATAAGCCTACTATTATGCTGATTTTTGCCAGGCTTTCCCTCACTTCTTTCCCATTTACTACAAGAGCGAGCTCAAGGCTTCTTTTTGTTTGTTTTCGAACTTCAGTCATTCTTAAGTCTTTACCACCCTGCTCAAGTCCACTCAATCTGAAGCAGACACCACAAGATAGTGCTGTATTGCTTCTGGAATCAGAAAATGCTCAGGTTCTTTTTTCAACTGCATGTTTCTGTGAAGGTTTTAACCAGCCTCTTGACAATCTTAAAAAAATTAAAAATAAAAATATTTCTTAGAATATTGTACTTTGACTGTCACATTCATTGGAGAGCATTGTATTTTTAGCTAAATGCGAGATCTCAGAGCAGCAGTTGAAATCATCTTTGATATAAATAATCTCATAGCAAAACAGATTTTTGTTTATATAGGATATAGCCTACGTGCTCATAACCATTTAATCAAATTCAGGCCTTGTCTGAGCAAACATAATGGCTATTAACTTACGTGTGGGTTGTGAATTATCCTTTCTGAATTTGACCTGTTGCTTTGAGAACCAAAAAAACCTGTCTTCCTTGATTTTTTTTGCTTGGGATCACACATGCAAATGCAGGGGCTTTTCTATTTAAAAATTTTTCTGAATGTTTAATACAATTTTCTGCTGCTAACGTGTAGAAATCCAGTCTCTCTAGGTTTTTGGTCCATTGTGACTGACTGTCAGAACTTTTTATGGTTATCGTGGATCTTCTTTTTCTTCTTTCCATGTTGATACTCTATGTAATGCTTTTTATGACTCCACATAGGTCCCTTGAAAGGACCTTCTGTCTTTTCTTTGCTTGGCAGCTTTCTCCTAAGACCAGCATGTATAACATCTATCTCCTGAAGACATATCCCTGTTAATCACTTCTGGTGCCTCTCTTTGAACTTCTTTCCATTAAGGTTGCAGTTTTTAAGTGCGGTTAACAAAAGCCAGGATAAAATGTTATTATCAGTCCATCTCCTGGCTTAAAAGAGCCATGTTTTTTTATGCCCTAGATTAGCAACTGCCATATAACATGAGCCATGTAATTTGCTGTTTTCTGTATCTTCACCCTCAGATCTGTTGCCAGGCCACTGTGACTGTACCAGTTTATTTCCAAATTTGTGTGTTGAATCAATTTCCCCCAGTTGCAAGCCAAAACCAGTTTTGTGCCAGGGGAATTTCAGCTGATTTAATTTGTTGCCAATTAACAAACTTTTAACCACTTGACTCTGGTATTGAAACCACCAAATAAATACACAGAGACAAGCAAATACATATGTAGAGAGACACACCTCAGCTCCCTGTCCTTGCTGCTCTGTGGTCTCCAGTCCCGTTGCTGCACATGGCACCCAGTCCCTTTGGTGAGGCAGTGGGCCTCCCCAAAGGGCAGGAGGTGAAGCTTTGCAGGGAGTGCAAGACCTGTGTCTCGTTTCTGCAGCTGGGAAGTTCTCTGCGCCATTTCTTTCTGTGCTGCTGTCTCTTATCTGTAAGCCAGGAAAAATGGCAGTGACCTGCTTCAGGTAGTATTGTGAAACTGCTGAGAAGCAACCCTAAAGGACATGGTATTACTGATGTAACTGAAGCTTTGGAGTCTTTCAGTCTTGTGGGAGCAGTAGGTGTTTGAAGAAGAAAGGAGATAGAACAATTACATAGGGGTATATTTTATTACCTTTGCACTCAGTTGGTTCCTGCTCCATCCTTAGCCCCAGTAGTAATCAAGTGGCACAAGATACAAACCCATATTGTGTGTGGCAATGTGTTCTTCCCCTTCAGATACAAAGAATTTCCAAAGGTTGTGTTGTGACATCCCTCTGGATTACTGCAGCTCATTTATCAGATGTTAGAGTATGACATGTCAGATTTCAAGGTCCTTTTCATGCCAGGTCACAAGCTGCCAGAGCTTCAATATCAACTGGATCTTGGTTAAAAAATATTTACAGAAAAGGGGGGTGGTATTTTTAGCCTAGGTCATTTTCATGGTTTGGTCTTGCGGAGGAGTTTCACAAACTGAGCAGAGTAACAGATTACAATGCCAAGGTGGAGACAAGGAGGTTGCAACAGAGCAAGAATCATTAAGGCACCTTTACTGCCAGATTTACTATATTGTACAGTTACACCTGGCATATACACTGATTGGTGTCCCATGTATACATACACACTGAGGTTTGGAAATTCCTTTCTTCTTTTGCAGATGGGAAACTGAGGCCCAGAGAAGTGAAATGAGTTGTCAGTGGTCACATCAGAAATATGGCCAAGGTTGTATAGGAAATATTGTCAGCTGAGGTGTTAATGCAAAATCCCAAGTCAGTGCTCTGTCCAGGCCATCTTGCTTCTAATATAGCCCAAAGGTTCCAGCTAGGATGTTTAATTGTTGTTGATTATCTTTTTACCTTTATCAATGAATAATCTCTACAGAGGAATGGCAAACTGCAACATGTGTTGACCATAAGGTTCATATTGGTATTTGGCATAAAATGATGAGAACCACACTCTGGGCAGCTGGTGTCCTCTTTTTGAAAATGTAGGCTCAGCATACAGCCAAATATACTGCAAATCAATTTCCTGCAAAAATTAAAAAGCTGGTGGAGTAATGCTAAAACTCCTTCAACACTGGTGTAGAATCTGTGGCACCTTGTCTGGAGATCAGCTTCCAGGTATTGGCCCTTTATTTCCTAGAAAAAAGTTGGCAGATGTTGCATCAGTCTGTGTACGAAGGGCTCCTGTTTCCTGAAGATTTGTTTGAGGCAGGCATTCATGATTCTCATTGCAGAATATTTATGATCCCTTCTAGGTTCCCATTCTGGCCTCTACTTTCAGTTGCTGTGGCTGGCAATTTCCTTGTGCCAGCTTTTGCATGCACCTGCAGGCTTCCCAAAGCTGTTATTCCTTATCTATTTGTTTACACTTCAGCCTAGTACTTAGTATTTTCCTCACTTGTGTTTAGTCCCCAGACAACTCTCAAAACTGTACAAATACACTATTTCTCACCGACAGTGGTGGGTGACAAAAAAATCGCAAGAATTAATTTCTTTATTAGAAACTTTATTGGAAAATACATTAAAAGTAGACCACTTCATTTTTGTTTAACTTTTCTAAATAGATTTACAGTTCATCTTAAATAATTAACTTTAAGTCACTTTTTAAAAAGTCAAAAGTAAAGATATAAAATAAAGTTGCAGCTGAGGTTTTTCTTCCCACTACTCTGTTACACAAAACCTGAAGCTATTTCTGTCTGTTCTTATTTTTAGATTGTTCTTCATATACCATCTACTATCATTGAAATTAATGAGAAAATAAAAGGAGTGACCTTTGGCTGAGCACATACAGTTTATGCATGAGCTAGACAGCAGGATCCTTTTTCATTCTTCTTTTTCCCACATTCTCTTTCTCCCTGCTCTCCCCCATCCAAATATAATTTGTAAAGCCTTTAGAGCCTTTCATCCTATGTGTTTCCACTGTGTTCCTTTAGATGAGTCTCAGGTCCGTGATTCACATCTATTCTCTTGTGCTGAAAGGTCAGTGGCACCCTTGTTTTACGAATATAATGCGCCGTTCTCTTGAACTTCAGGATTGTTTCCAAAACTCCCAGGCAAAATTCATACAGCTCAGGGTGCAGATAAATGTCAGCAATGCTATAAAGAGCACTCTTAGAACACAAATACAACCCTGGACATGCAAAGTTACATTGTTTAAAATAAACCAGTATTTACTGAAGATCTGAATAGTTTTGAAGACATGATTCCAACTGAAGCGTTAATTCTGAACCTGTGGCCCCACCATAAGGTCGAATATCTAATTCATTCCCAGCTTTCTGCAGCAGGTGGAAAAGTCCTTTCACCAGATACTCATTCCATGAAGCCACTGCAACTGAATAGAGTAGAAACTGCGCAGCGAGGTTTGCTTGGGCACGGCCGTCACGGAGAGCTGCGTGCCATCGCACCAAGGTGGGTCTCGGCCAGCCCACCTGTCTGCCCGAAACGCTGCCGGCTCTGCCCCGTTTGGAGGGTGGGTTGGGTACGTTCTTACTATAAACCTCACCTGGAATTATTTTCCATGCTACAGCTTGGGAATCCTTGGTTGAAAATACTAAGTGCTGCCTCCAAACTGTGTGGGAAGGGGCAAGAAGTTAGTTTTCTGGCTGAGGGTAGGGAGTTCACGTGGAGGTTGTTATGACCCAGAGAGTCTCCTCTGCATTAGCAGGAAGACAGGTATGCAGCGAGTTGGAGAGGACACGCTAGGATTTTCCAGTACTGGTGGCTCACATCGCTAACAAGAATGAGAAGTGAGATGTGTTTGAGGGACGGTGATGGCGGTGTAAGACACTAATACTGATAGTAAATCCAGATTACGGTTGTTTATGGAAAATTTGCTGTGATGTTTTCAGCTCCAGGCATGTGGTTGTACCTCCACATTCTCGTGTTCAAATTTAAGAGGACACATTTATTGCTCCTTTAGCTTTAACAACCCCGACTACATATTTTGTTTGGAGCTTTTAGGCGGCATTTTAAAGCACTGATCACTGAAAAACTTTGCGGTAAGTTTTTATATTCTGGTGGTTTGCCACTCGCATTCAGCGAGGACGATTCCCGCGCTAGCAGGGGTTGGTGCCGCCTGCTTCCCTCTGCTCAGTGAGGGTTCTGGGGTGGGTCTGTCCATGAGGACTCGGAGCCGTCGCTGCGCCGCTCCGTTTTTGGTTTTTTTTTTGTTATTATCCGCGGGCGGCAAGAGGCGCACACGGAAGCGGTGAACGCGCCGCGGGCCCGGGGGCTGCGCTGGGCTGTTGGAGGCTATTCGGTAACAGCCTGGGTCATAAATGATTCAGTGCCGGCCCGGGGGGGACAGGCAGCCGGTCCTCCCGAGCGCAGCCGTTTTTCCCTGGGCTGTCTTGGCGGCCGGGGGCGCGGATCCAGCCGCTCGCTCGTCCCTGAAACGCTCCGTGCGTCTGTGCCCGGGCTGCGGAGCGCTGCTGCGAGCACACCGCTGGCACAGCGCGGGCGGGGACCGAGGGTGCTGTGCCCTGGCTACGGGCTCTGCACAGACCCGCCCCTTGGAGGATTTGTTCTAGCTGCGCCAAGGTAAAAAGACCCCTAAGGTGATGGGGGTGCGGATGTGTTTTGGTTGGTTGGGGTGTTTTTTTAGCGTTCGTTTTTTTCTGTGCCTGAAGAATTTAATCAATAGATGTGGAATTCGTTGATAAACAGGGGTAGCTGGCAATATTCTTTTATTCTCTATCAGAATGCCATACTTCCTTAGAGCTGTAAGTGAATAGTGAAGCTTCTTCCTCAGCCTCATCATCCTGAGATGTGAATCACTTGTACGATCAGATTTATTTGCTTTAGGATAAAAGGCACCACAGAAAATTCACTTATTTCATTCCAGGTCACATTCTCCTGGATTGATTTGGTTGATTGAGCTTGAAAATGTGCTTTAAGGCAACTAATGATCTTCGTGGAAATTATTTTCTGTTAACTTTGAAATTTAAATTACCAGTGTGTGTGTAAAGAGTCTTCATTTTCTTTGAGCTCCTGATGCAGTCATAAGATGTTTTCCGAAATGTGATGATAAACTAAAAACTTTATACTCAGAAAGTGAAAAAAACGGCTGCATGCAGGATGTCAAGGTTAACTGGGAATGTATTTGCACTGGCCATGAAAGAAATCCTGGGTGGTAACCTGTTGAGCACCACTAACTGGCGTCTTCAGGCTGCTGTGAGTAGGGCACTGTGCCCTTGCCACAATTGTTGCCATGAATGCAGTCAAACTGTGTAAATGCAGAATGATTTCCAGGTCAGAACAGGTTGATGAATTTTGTGAGGCGCCATCACAACCTGATGGAGCTGAACACTGCTGATAGACTGTGAGTGTTCTCCCACTAATTGTGTTAGGGTAGTTGAAGGAGTTTGGCCTTTTATGAGAACAGCAGGATCTGTTAAATGTAATGGGACACTAATCAAGATAAGGCTTGTACTGTGTCAGGTGCTGTATAAACATGTAAGGAGGTAAGGTCATAACTCTGGGAAATTTACTGTGTAAGAAAGTGTTATGATTAAGATGAAGTAAATTAAGTGCCCTTCAAAATGTTCTCAGTGTTATCTTTTAAGTGAAGGGTCTATTTTGACAGACTTTATACCCAGGCAGATGCCTGAGAAGGCACATGTGCTTGAGAGTTACTGTTTTGTCTGACGTGTAGTAAGGAGCCTAAAAATTGAACACAAGCATCTTTAAGTACTTCCTGTGTTGAGGGAAGTTTGCTTCTGAATCTTTATCAGTTGTTCTTATCTAGTCGTTCTTGCTCAAAGAAATGCAAATGAGACTGTGTCAACATGGACATCTTCCCTCGGTTTCCCAAATTTTAAGGAAATACCTGTATGGAACTGAAATCAGTTCAGGCCTATTTTTAAGAGAAAGCACAACAAGGTTCCAACAGCCTGCAGTGTATTTTGTATTTTCTTTGAGTTTTCTTCTAGCAGTGGGGGAAGTACCAAAGCTGTGCTTGCCAGCAGTTTGTAGGCAACCTGTATTTGGAATTTATTCCCTAGGCTGTTAGATTTGTGCTCTTTTTCACCCACATGCGTTGCCTCTGTTGTCATTCTAGGGACTGTAATTCCTAGTATGTTTTTAGGGCTTATGCCTTAGAGGTCTTTGGACACTGTTAAGTAATGCTAGTCATGCAGAACGCAAAAAAAAAAAAATCCTCAACCATTTTCTCAAAACAGTCTGGTGTGGTGCTTTACACATCTAAAGAAAAGGTCAAACTCCACTTTTCACTGTGCGCTGGAGGATAAAAGTAAAGCTGCGTTAACAATTTGGAGAAGATGACCCAGAGGCAGTGAGGGTTTGCACAAAGATCAAGAGAAGAAAAATAACTTATAGTTAACTGTAGTTAACGTTAAGGCTTCTATTGTCCATGTTATTCTGGGGAAATACGACTTCATACCTATGGCTGGTGCCACTGTCTCCTCCATCCTCCATGTTTTTCTGCACTGTCCCAGTCCTTCAGTTTCTCTCTTCTTCCTCCTGCCTTTTCCTTCCTTAAATGTTTCACTAGTTTTCTCGCAGGTTTCTCCTTTGTGTACAAAAATGAACAGTAGTGAAATAGTTAACTTTGATAGCAAAGTGCTTTTATTTTAGACTGGGCACCTTCCCCTGCTAATATTTGAAAGCAACACTCTGTAGCATTATCATATGAAATATTTCAGGCTGTGAACTTCCTTGAGATTAGCAGGGGCTGTACCGTTCAGATCTCTTTGCCCTGTTTGTTTCTGAGCACATTGAGCTCAAAGAAGAGGGTGCAGCGTTTTTCTGCCTCTGCTTTGCATTTGCAAGATTGTCTTTACAGTCCTGAGGACTGTAAGCTCATTTTTTATAGAGTATGAGATGATGGGGTGTGTAGTTACCTTGGGGGTGTGTTTGGCATGGCAGGACTTTTACTTCTGATATGTATCTGAAAGTGGCATCGTGGGTAATTCCTGCAGCAAAGGTTTTGGCCTGGTTAGTGCTGTCTTGTAACATGCCAAAGACCAGCTCCTTGCCTGATGTAATTTGATAGGGTGCTCAGAAGAGCTGAATTCGACTGACACCTTGACCAGTGGTGTGTGCAAAATATATTGCTTGATTTCAGGGGAGGTTGTGGGAGCCCCCGGAATATAAATTCTGGGATGTGGCAAGAAGCTGGAGAGTGAAAACTGACATTCTTTGACTGTTCACTTTCACAGTACGTGAGTGGAACAGGCGGGTGAAGAGGGCATGTGTGACAGTGGTGACTCTTGTTTCTGAATGGAGGTGCAGTAATTCCCTAGTTCTGGATATGGATTAGAAGAAATCTGGTTTTGCTTATTAGCCTCCACTGTCTTTCCCGCTGAAAGTTTGTCTGTGTGAGGCTTGTTTAGAAGCTCTGTAATAAAATCATGTGTGCAAATCCCATTTTGGGTGTGTGTGCATTTGTGTGTAAAACCTGAGAACTGAAAATGTGATAGTGACGGGTGGAGAAGGAAAACATTTCTTACTTCTGAGAAGTTGTCAGCAGATGTAATTGACCCTTTTTTGTGAGAGACTTCAGAAACAGACTTCAGAGTTAAACAGTCAAAGGCTGGTTTCTCAGCATAAAAGAAATCTTTCTGTTGAATAGGCCACCATATACTTGATGGGTGATGGCAAATTTGCTCAATTACTAAAGTGATTATTAAGTAACAGTGACAATGCTTTCACTTATTAGCCCGGTGCAATTATACTTTTACTAGATCTTGTACCAAAAAAGCTTCTGTGATTTTCTGTTTAGACAAGGCAAAGAGAGCGGCAGACCCTAATTAGGGTTTTGGAATAAAGTCAAAACTCTGCCTGTGTTTTAAACTGCTCCTGTAAAACAACAATAATATAGAATGCCTGCCCATCTTTTTGTAGTACAAAAGAGACTAATCTAAAAATATGCTCTACATATACATAGTAGGGAAGGGTTGTGGCATAACATTTTCAGAGCCTGTTCTTTTCTTGGTTTGCTCTTAACTGAAACTATGCAGTTTCTTCAAAAACCATGAGTTACAAATGAATCTGCAATACTTTGTGACTCCTTGTCCTTTTCCTTCAGACAAAAGGCCCTTTTAATCCATTGTGGAACAGTCACCGATTTTCATGTGGTCATTCAAGAAAAGGCTAGTGATTGGCTTTCATAATAGGCCTTTCAGTACTCTCTCTAGTGGTTTGCTGACTGAAAAAAAAATGCCTATGACTGTGTACTTTATCCAGTGTTTAAATTACTGATGAATCTAATCCCACAAGTTGTTGAAAAGGTAAGAGTTCAAATGGCAAAGAAGCCTCACCTGTTTCTGAATATTGATGTGCTGTTGCTCGGAGTTGGGGACAGGTTTTGGCCTATCTGATGCAGTTTGATGTTCATTGACTGAAGGTCTGTTCTGTTCCTTTTTTTTAAAGTGGTAACTTAAACCTGTTGGTTCCATGAAGAAATGCTTCTAAGAGGGCTGATGCTGTTTTGTGTTCTGAGTGGTGTTGAGCAATGTTACCTGTTTGTGTTGTGCATGGTCAAGTGGACTGTGAATGCGATTTCTTGGGAGGTGATGATCCTCGAAAGTTGTGGGTGTGTTTTGAGTTAGCATTCAAGAAATTACTGCCACTGTTGTGTTGACAGAGCCGTCTCGTTGAGTTGCTATCCTTCTGTGCTGGTAAGGCCAACCTGCCTGGCAGCATTTCAAAATAAACACCCTGCATTCTGGGCAAGTAGGCTGGTGTGTGTTGTCCCAGCTTTATGCAAAATCCATGCAAGGTTATATGGTGTTTGACTGACTCTTACCTGGAGGGGCACCAAAAGATAGTGTTTGTGCTATGAGACATTTCTGAGCGATGGTAGTTTTTCAGGATCCTGGTTGCTTTTGTTAGAAACCTGTGCAAAGCTTGCCTTGAAGCTTCAGCACTGGAGTGTCCACCTGAGTGCTCTCCTTGACATGTGGCTTTTATTGCTGCTCAAGACTGATGCACACTGACAGCTAATGGGTGGTGGCAGATCAGAACTTGAGGCTTTCTTATTGGTTTAAGTACAGCTGCCAGGAAAAAGAGTATTTGGGATTTGGATGACTCTAAGCTCAAGCATGTACTCAAATGGTCATTTCAGACTGAATTACTTAGTAATATATAAAACCGGTTTTCAGCATGTACTGTTCTACACACATCGAGCTTCTGGCTTCTACTTCTGCATTACACTTAAACTATCCACTTTTAGTATTTAAATTAGTGCTGTGTATATTTAAATTAGTGCTGTGTATAGTTCTCTCTGTAAAATTAAACGCAGTGAAAGCCTTGCACGTGCAGTGTAAGTGTGGTGGTACTTCTGAGTGGGAATGTTTTCAGAAACTGTGGTTTATACTAGAGGTGGAAAAATCAACAAGTCCCAAAATGTCATCACTGTGGGACTTCTGTGTTGATGCAGGGAATAACTATCTTGTGCAGTACTACTAACCTGTGCAGAATTTTATTTGGTGATCTTTAGGATGCAGTCTGAATGAAATGTTGCCTTTTTAATAATTATGTTTTCCAATAACAGCTTAATGCTGACTAGAAGTTGTTTT